TCTGCAGAGTGGTCAACAAGAGAAGAGGCAATAAAGAACACCCAGACTCTAATTCTCACTCTGGCTATGGAATGAATCTCCTGGTTTACCACAGTGGAGGGATATGGGTTTCCAATATGTTCAAACACATATATCATAACGTTTTGGTAAACATATGCCTAAAAATCAGTACCATGACACTGGTTTTATCTACACCATTTTCCCCTAAATTCAAATCAATACCCAAAGTCACTCACTTAGTTAAAATTTTAATGAAACACATTGCTTTTGACAGCAATCATTAAATGGATCCTTATCACTTTAAATATCATACAAGAAAGCAATGGTAAACAGGCCCAGTTTTAAAGAGGTAAATTTTATGTTGACAGAATATAAGCCTATAAATAAATATAAGCTTATAAAGAAAAATGAAGTAGCATACATATCATCAACAAATGAACAGCATATAAAACTCATTTGCACGTAGGATTAGAGCAAGTACATGCTGGGAGGCAGCTTCCCTAGGGGACGTTGAGGATGTTTGAAAAGGATACATGTGATCAATTTATTCTCTCATTTTTACTGCATGATGTCAGGTTTGAGAAAAGAGGGGATTTTAGGTTAGAGGTTATAGAAATGTTTAGGTAATTAGATATATTAAAAATAATGCATAGTGTGGGACAAGACACAAAAATGGTCTGCAGTAACAAAGAAACAGGCAGCAATCATTAGCATGAGAAAGACAATATCCAGAGTAGGCACAAAGGAGATGTCCGTACAATCTTGTGATCTGAGCTGGGGATGAGAGAAAACACCCCAGTCTCAAGACTGGTGGCCTCTGCTAAAAGGTAAAGTAATGTTATTAAAGATGGTGTCTGACACAAGAGTTCATGCTTTATATGCCAAAAACAGTGAGGCTGGGGAGTGGCACAATAGGTTGGTAGAATGTGCTACACAAGTGTGAGGAACTGAGTTAGGATCCTCAGAAGTCACGCACCTCTTGGTACAGTGGTACATCTATAATCCCATTGCTCGTCTGGCAAGATGGGGCCAGATAGCCTGAAGCAGGTAAAATGAACACAACACCTCTCAAGCAAAGTCAATGGTTCTGAGACTGTCCTTTGACCTTCAAACACAGGACATAAACATTCATGCGCATGCATAAGGATACACACAAGGAAAGGGGGGAGGAAAAGGAGGAACTGACATTGGGATACATGAGAGAAAAAAACTATTTGGCTTCAAGTGAAAGGTAAATCACATATGAGAAGAAGTAGAAATTTGTACATTTCCCCCCCAAACCCTTTTTATTCACAGATATACAAACAATTCATAGATTAAGTGTGCATTGAAGTAGAATGTGGAATTTTAAAAGAAACAGATAGATCCCCTAAATATACCTTATCACATATCTCCTAAAGATGCAGCCATCAAAAGCTCAAGTTCCCCTTTGAAGATTCAAAGATAACACTGCTACTCTGACTTCAGGGGGTGTCTAGACGTGTAATTAAACTCTCTCTAAGGTCCTAACAAAAACTGTGTCATTGTGTAATGAAAGCTACTACATGGCAATTTGGTTTAATTACATCTCTGCTGTGTTCGATGGGCTGTGTGTAGTTAATTGATAATGTCTCAGGAGTTGGTAGGAGGAAGTATGAGTCTCTTTAGAAATCTAACAGGACACAGAAGAACTAGTCATTAAAGACAGAAAAACAGTGTTCTGGCTTCAGTTTTCCTACTGGGGATGAAAATTAAACTGCATGGAGTGGTTCTTTTCTGTTCTTCAGAAAACTTAGAATTAATACACCCAAATTTAAGGAAGGGTATAGGAGTGAGTACTCCATTTTGTTTTATATCTGATTTGGACACCTGCCACTTGCATGGTCTTTATCTTGACCTCTATATATGGTGTCAAAACTGTCCACAGAGGAGAAGCATCTCCCATGACCAGACCAACAGAACATGTAGTGCCATCTGACAGGGCCTATTTGATTGTATGTGTTGGTCCCTTCCACATCCCAAGTCTGGGATGGCTGCCATCTTACCTATTTCAGACTCATCCTTCATCCTACTGTTTTCCTTACTAGGCTTGAGCAGTTTGACCCATAGATAATCATTTCACTCATTTGTTAATTTTGTTTATATTATCATTGCTTAGTAATAACCTTCATGTTCTTTACTGGCACTGCTACACTGCCATATAGCCTCCCTGCTAAAGCCAGGTATCTATATTTCTAAATTACAGAGTAACTGAAAGCAAGGCCTGAGCTGAAAACAAAAAACAAACTTCAAACTGAAATCTCACACCTACAAACTGAAGCCTAATTTCTCCAGAATAAAAAGGCTATGTTCTTTAAAATGAACACCTAATTTGTGTCTGCATCTTTTTTTCTGAGACAATTGTTAACATGCACAAGCCATAGAGTGTGATTGTTCCTATGTCATGTTATATATGTTCCTATGCAGTTCCCAGAAAATGTAATGGTTCTGGAAATTGGGCTGAGAGGGTATACGGGTAAAGCTTGTTCTGTGCAAGTGTGGGGACCTTCGTGTGTGCCCCCAGGAGCTGTATCTGCCATGCCTGGTGTATGCAGTGGTGGCCTCACAGTGGTGGTCTGGCATATACAGAGATGCAACCACAAGAGACCTTGCCTGAACAAGGTGGAAGGAGAGACCCCACACCTGTGGTTGTTCTCTGATAGCCACACCACACTTACACACAGGAACCTGCACGTGTGTGTGTGAGCACACACACACACACACATCATATGTACATATATGTACATTCACATATCATACACACACATGCAGACATATACATGCACAAATCATACAAACATATACACGCACTGTGCATAACACCCATATACACACATGCATACATCAGACACATACACAAAGACATACATACACACTTATATGTGCACACATCTTACACATACACAATGTTACTCATCTCACACACTCCTCCAGAATTTGACATTCTTTCAGAAAGACTTGGGTTCTACCTTTCTTTTCCATTAAATTTGGCAGAATTTTAAGTTGTTCAGAACTAATGGAATGCAGAGGATGAGACAGTGATTTCCAAGGTTAGATCCTAACAGTCAACAAGTCTCTACTTTCTGTGGTACCTACTTTTGTAACCCTGAATTACAGTGTTAAGAACTGGGTGACACTAAAGCCATCAAGCAGTAAGAGGGATACTCAGCAGGTAACACGGATCAGTCAAGTTTAGGTTTTCTATTTGACTAACACATGAAGTATCATGTAACAGACATGGTAATGCCAGAAACGTGAGTGGAATTAATTTAGGTGATTGATTTCATCTTTCCAGACATCAGTCTTCCAAATATGTAGTCTCAGATGAAACCACAGGTATTATAGAACAGAGAAAATTACCATTCCCATTGGGTCCCATTTCAAGTCCTTAACCAGAAACTATACATGCAGAGCAAAATTATTTCAAAATGACAGTCTGAGGACACAAGAGATGGCTCAGCATTTAAGAGGACTTGTTATTCTTGCAAAGGTCTGGAGTTCAGTTCCCAGCACTCACAGCAGCTCATTACCACCTGTAACCCCAGCTCCAGGGAATTTGATACCTTCTGGTTTCTGTGGCCACTTGAATGCGCATGCAGGAGTGTGTGCTCTTTCACACACATAAATGAATGGAAATAAAAGTCTTTAATCATTTTATTATTTTTAACGTGTATGACTGCTTTGTGTGTGCGCACAGATGTCCCTGCATCAAATGAATGTCTGGTGCCCTGAAACTTGAGGTTACAGGTTGTTGTTAACTACCGCGTGGGTGCTAAGAATTGAAGCCAAGTTTTCTAGAAGAGCAGCCAGTGCCCTAAGTCATTGAGCCATCACACTATCCCAATAAGGATGATGATGATAAATAACACTAATAAACTTTTGAAAACCAGAAATGTCTGTCAATGTGTCAACAGTACTATCATCCTGTACAAGCCACGTAGTCAGCACCTTTTCTGCGAGAACTCCCTGCATGCCACAGCAGAATGAATAATTTCTTCTGCCTTCCACATTATTTCACTCACATTTCTAGTCTAATGTCTGAGTGCTAGTAATAGTTAAGCGTGTGCTTGTCAATGCAAAAGAAGATTCCCTGAGAACAAATTTGTCACTGACCTTTGTATCCATACAAACATGGGGATGGAGTAGGTTTTTCAATAATTTCTTTGTAAAAATAGTGTATGAATGGACAGGATAGTCAGAATTATAGGTTGAGTGAAGCTCAATAGCACCAACGAGTAGACAGAAATACCATCACTCTTGGTAGTCTCCCATGCTTAGGGTCTAGCAGGTTTAGACTTCATAAATGTTTATTAAATAATGTGATAGTACTACCTGAGCTGGGGCAGAACGTATCTATTTTTATGGGAATAGATATCACGTGTCCATAGCCATACCTGTGTGGCTCTGTGTTCAAGCACTTCAGGAGCTCAACTCACCCTGTTCTGTTAGGAAATAGCAGCATCAGGTTTTAATTAATACACTGGGAAGTAAAATGTGACATAAACTGATTAG